TAAAACAATGTAATAATTGAAAGAAAACATCTTGGGAAAGTGTTGTGGCATAGCTTGCTATGTTGACATATTATATCTCAGTCTCTGTTAGAGAGTCCTGACTTGACTCTGCATTCTAGCTTCCTTCTGACACACATGCTTTGAGGCAGCAGGTGATGATGCACAACCTTAGGTCTATGGGAGCACTTGGGAGATAGAATTCTGGGCACCTGGATTTGACCCCGCCCAGTTCCTGCTGTTTAAGGTATTTGTAGAGTGAAACAAATGAAATATTTCTCTCTGTATCCCTCTCTTCTCTTATCTCTGTCATTTGTTTCAAAGCAAATTTGTCATTAAAATTTCTTAAAAATTTTTTAAGTAGAAATGCAGACTCTCTCAGGATACACTATACTAATACATTTTAAAAATAAATGCACTGCAGCTTGAATTAGTTCAGTGTCAATGCACAGAAATGAACTCCTCATTGTTTAACATTAACCTTTGCTTCAATTCTAGGGGTTTGGTTCTCTTAATTTTCCTGTAAAGACAACCTTTATTTTTTTCTTTGTACTTAACTATCTGGTTAAATGAATATTACATATCCTTTGATTTAATCTGGTCTGAGGTTATACTGTATACTGATCATGATTTAATTAAAATTGAACCATTTTGTTCTGGTGGAGAGATGACTTAATTCACATTCCAACTAAATTTGTGGTCTGAGAAGTATCTTTATATCCTTTATGTGTCTGAGGAGCACTAAAAGTGTTCTGATAAAAGTCTGTGCTGTTAAAAAGAAATAATGATACTTGTTCAGAAGAAGTGTTTGTTATTTCTTTTGGTTCTTCTACTAAATGGCTTAAGTTGCTATTTTTCATATAGAAATGATAACTTTGATCCAAGATATTTTAATAAGGTTATACATTATCTTCTAGATGTTGAAAGTAAATGCAGAATTTAACTACTGGAAATTTCCAACATGGATTATACACACGGACCAATACTCTTATGTATAAAATTTGAAGTGTTTTTCTTTTGGCTAAATTATTACTTAGAGTAGATCAGTTAGGGCCCTTGTACTCATTTCTTGGAGCACTAATAGAATAGCACTACAGAATGAATGGGATTAGGAAAGTAATTGTGATTGTTGATTATTTCCTCATTTTTATTGCCCAGAAAACTCAGCATCAAATCCAAATTCTCAGCAGATAGACTTGACTTTCCAGCTTTATCCAGGACAACTGAAGTATATTCGACTGTAATATTTGCTTCATTCCAGTTTGGTAGAGTGGCATCTTAGCACCAGTATAATTCATTTGTAGAGCTGTTTGGGAATTACAATCAAGATGATATGGCTTCTCTGTATGCTACTCTTTTCAAGCAGCATTCTAGCAGGAAGCATATTGTGATTGACTTTTGCTAGCTTTCAACTAGCGTAACTTAGTTTATTTGATTAGCAAATGCCAAAGAAATGATTTTGGAGGGCCTCTGGGTAGAACCTAAAAAAGTTTAACACCAAGTGTTAGTCATCTATTCTCCCTTCTGTTTGTGCTGTTTGTCACTCCACATTTTGAATTCAACAAATAGAAAAATAATCACAGTTTTAGCAGTTGAATTTTCTTTTTTACTCGTCTGCAATTTGTGTTATCGTAGAGGAAAGGAAGTAGAGATTCAGAAATCTGTTTATAGTCTTACAAATATATGTTGAAGTGCAACCAACATTATTTTAGTGTTTTATACATAGTAAGTTTCACAGTTGGTATTTCTTTTTTTGCTGGTTCGCTCCCCAAATGTTAATAATGGTTTGGGCTAGCCAACACCAGCCTGGAGCTGAAAACTCAATCTAAGCCTCCCAGTGGGTGGCAAGAATCTAAATACTTGTGGCAGGATCAACTGTTTCTGAGTCTGTATCGCTAAAAGCTAGAATAAAGAGTAGAACCCAGACACTTCAGTGTGGATCCTGGTGGCTTAACCTGTATCTTAACTGGACCAAATGCCCATTCATGTTTTTAAATGTATGTCTTTCGTTTACATTTCTGCATAAAATCTCAGGTTGTTTGTACTGCTATTTTTTTTCTTTTTCTAATTTGCATGTAAGTATTACCCAATTAGGAGACAGCCTTGACAAACTGTGCTGTAGGTAGCTGCTATACCTGGCTGTGTGTCCTTCACTGCTTAGCCTCTCCTCAAAGGGTTTCCTGCAACACATTCTGCTCTGTGCTGTTCTACTCTTTTCTTTTCTGCGTCTGCCTTTCCTGACTTGCAGAAAGGTAATTACACTAAGGATGTTTAATTATGTCTCTGGAGAATAAGAATAAGGTTAACCTAAAGAGTTGCATTTACTATCATTATTTTGACAAAATCTCTGGAATATGGAATGTATTTCAGCATTCTGTCATTTCTTTCTATCTCTTACTACATATTTTTTCATCTTTAGAAAAACATACTTTTGGCAGATTTTTTTGCTTCTAAAACTTTGTTATTTATGTATATGGAGCAAATTTCAAGTATTTCATATATACAATTTTAGGAGCATAATGATACTTCCAATCCTCTCTCCCAACCAACCTCCTCTTCCTTTCTGAATTTTCTTTTAGTTATTTACAATTATGTAGTTTCAGTTCAATTCATACTAACAAGCTTAACCCTCCACTAAATAAAAAATTCAATAAGTTATAAATTGTGACACATGGTGACAAAAAAAAAAAAGATGGCTAAACAGGCATAACAAACCCCTGTGTTATTTACTACAAAATTCCTGTCACGGTCAGGGCTGGATCAGACCAGGAGTGGCGAATTGAATGCAGGTCTTCCCCATGGGTTGCAGGAATCCAATTAATTTATTCATTACTGCAGCTTCTTAGAGTCTGTGGGAAACTGGAGTCAGGAACTGAAGCCAGAAATCAAATGTTCCAGTTAGCAATGTGGATTTTTTTTCCCTGATGTATGAGCCCATAAAACAAATGGCCTATAGATCTACACCCCAAGTTTTCATAATTTCTGAAGTTTACAATAGCAGTTTAAAGTTCATAGATATATACTTTATAAGTACAGGCAGTGTCCTTGGTGTGGCTGCTGTATAGCCTAAAATGTTAATGTGAGTATAGGGAGGTTGGGTCCATTGGGTACATTGGACCCCTTTAAATTCAAAAGATTATTAATAGGATAATTTCTACTGGTTGCTTGGCATTAAACCTCAATAGAATTATCAAGGGATGATTAAATAAAGAGCAGTGATGAAACCAAGATAATAAAAAGCACATAGCAGAAAGGGGTATGTTCTTTCTCATTTTAACACAAACCATATTATCAGCTACATTCCTTTTGACACTTTGATGCTTGATACTAATTGAAAGTATTTAGGAAGGAGATCTAGACAAGAACATCCCTGACAAAAAATCAGAAATCAGTGATACTTTACAATGATGAGCATAATATATCTCAAAATAGCATGTTTCTTTCTGTTTGAAACTACAGACACAGTGTAGGTTAAACTGTCCATCTTCTACATATGCCTTTCTGAAAGAAAAATTTGCATATTACTTTTATTTAAAGTTTTGTGAATGTTTTTGTTATTAGACAATCTTATTTTTCTTTGTATTTTGTATATACATAGTAATGCATTTTATCATGATAGCTGAGTCTAGTTCAAGGAATAGGGTAAATCAGTGGACATAGGTAGAATTAACAAAGACGTACTTGAAATATAAAATAAGGAGAGATTATTAAAACTTTCTAGGTAGGAAATCAGGAAAGTGTACAAATTTGTTTCTATTTAAAAGAATTTTGGAAAGCAGATTTAGAGTGGTGCTTGTACTGACTTAATGCGCTAATGACGGATGCTCATATTGTGACTTCTTCCATGCACATCTACAAGACATAGTGCAGTTATTTTTTTCCTTAACAATAACTCTGGTCATCTTCATTTTCAGTAAGGTATGGTGGAATTTACATACAAACCTAGAATGACTGTTTTATGGGCAAAATGTGAAACACATTTTTTTTTTCGTAAAATAATTGAATCACAAACTTTAAGAAAATATGTGCAAAACCTGTGTATCTTACTTCAGAAATGATGCTTGACATTAATATGAAAAGATATTTTGGCTGTCATCCACTAGATTGGGGTCCATGATAATACAAAGAGGAAGACACTTCCTGTAATAAGTTTATGTGTGAAAAGGGGCAATAAGCCAACATCTGTTGTTTACAGGAGAGTTTTGTGTTTCAGGGTACCATATTATGTACAGTTGTGAATATTAAGGTGAATTAGATGTGTTTTGTTTAAATTAAGAATTTATTAAAAAGAGATACAAATGTAAAATATATTTTGTAAAGTTGCCAGAAAATATAGAAAATTAGAGAATAATTCAAGGTGCATTAAAAGTTTTAGAGAAAATAATATTTGCATTGGGATTTGATTTTTCTTCCAAAATAATGACAATTCAGAACAGAAGAAATTGCATGAACAAGCGGAAGCATGATAAAACATCACATGGTTGGGAGTAAAGCTTAAAATGTTTAGTTGAAGAATGTTAGATGAAGGACTGGGGGAGATAGAAAGACAAATTGCAGTCTCCTGGTAAAGGACCTTTTCACTATAACCTGTGGGCAAACTTCAATGCATTCTTAATTATGGGTTTGTAATAGTATGATTTAGAATTATCACTTTCCATTTGAGAGTTTAGAGTTATTGGTAGTATGCATAGGACACTTTACAATAATTGCCTAATTGAGAGATGTTAATGACTTCAACTAAGGCAGTGGCGGTGGAGATGGGAAGGAGGTAGCTCAATATATAGAAAGTGAAGTTAATAACCATTAATGGAATTTTGCATTTGGTGATGTGAGAGAGAAGAAAAGGGGGAAACAAGATACTGATTTGATCCTTGTGTATCTCTCATATGCAGTCAAGTGGATTATGGTGTTAGTTACTGAGGTAGAAAAGAATTGGAAGAGTAAAAATTAAGTTTCTAACATAAATTTGAAAAATATGACAGTTAAATGCCTATGTTCTGTAGGTAATCATCTGTGTGTTGAAAACTAGAATTTAGAAGAATTTGTGGGTTTGACAGGGAGAGATAGGTACTTTGTTCCATTCTTGTGTGAAATTAAAAGTTTTGATAATGAATGAGATTACTTAAAATGACAAAAGTGTTTAAGGATTAATACCTGAATATTAATATGTTTAGTGCCAGTGGATCTTTTAGATTTGGCACTATGGGTAGAAACTTAGCGATTTTTAGTGTATGGGTTTTCCAACAGTATTAATGACACCAAACAGTAATTCTTTTGAAGGTAGGATAATTGGAGGTATCTGGTGATGCTAGTCATGGAAATTATACAGAAAGAAAAAAATGCAATGTGAGTCTTGTTGCATGTGATAAACAAGAGATGTTTAAGTCTGAAACTTGTAGCAGCGATTGGTCCTACAGATAAGAATTTGAAAGGTTTTTTGGTAGTTGAGAACTCACTGGATATTCTCAGCTGTATTTTTAAATAAGATTGAATTAATTCATTATAGAAAATGGCACATTGTATTAAGGTATAACACATTGCATCAATATACATATACATCACAATTTGCAAATGGGATAATTAGCAATTAAAGAAATTTTTTAGCTTAGCTTTCTCCAAAAACTGATCATTTGAATATACTGTAACATTGGTTAGGGCAGTTAATACCACAAGATTACATTTTCTAAGACCATAGTTAATTAAAAATAAAGTTGGGCTGCACAATAGTATAACAGGTTAAATTATCCACTTATGATGTTGGCATCCCATATGGGCCACTGATTTGACGTACCACTGCTTATGGCCTGAGAAAGCAGCACAGAATGACCCACGTTCTTGGGCCTCTGCACCTATATGTGACACCTGGAAGAAGTTCCTGGCTCCCAGCTTTGGAAGAGCTCAGTTCTGGCTATTTTGGCTTTTTTGGGAAAGTGAACTAGTGGATTGAAGGTATCTTTCTCTGTCTCCCCCTCTTTCTCTCTAACTCTGTCAAGTAAAAAATATATATATATATACATATATATGTATATATATTAAACTGTTTTGTTGCATAGTTTTTGATACTAGTAAAAATATTTGAGTATGATTGACATTATTAATTTTAATAAAATTCCGCTAGGGATTTTGTGGAATGAAACCCTTTATCCATTTATGCTTTTGAAAATGACCTTGTAAGATGTCAAAAACGCTATTGTATGATTTTGAGAAACACTTAATGATTTGTGCTTGATGCATTTAAACTGTTTATTGAAGGTCAAGGATTCTATTAGGGCATTTTTGTCAGTAAAATGTTGACAGAAATGAACTACATAGTTGAATTCTCACTGACAATACTGTCAAATTTGTTGAGAAAACTGTCTAATGATAAGGCCAGATTTTGCTCATTATTTCCTTAGTAACTCCCACTAGTTCATTAAATATTGCCTTAATTAGAGTGTGTGTTGTGTCAAGACATAGTGGCCCTAGTCACAATTTTCATTAAATACATATTTAGTTTATATTGTTATATATCCTCAAAGACTATGTATATAAATTATGTATTTGGAGGTGGTGAAATTATTTACATATTTAACAACTGTTAATCATTTTATATTGACCTTAATGTATATTTATATTGAACATTGAATTTGGATATCTACCATTTAGTTCAAAAAATCACTTTGAAATTAGCAAAATTCCAAAGTGGAAGTAATAACAAAAATCATGGTATTTTCTTATTATTCCTCCTTGTCATCTTGTCAGTGCTGTGTATTTTATGAAAAATCAGAGGTCACTACATAAGAGTTGCTGTTGCATGGTGATTTTTCTTTTCACTGCAACCTTCTTTACCATAATGATTATAACTGACACAAGATTTCTAAAGGCCTGATATTAAAGTATATTGAGTATATAAATATGGTAATATAGTGGCAAAAAGTCTCCTTTATCTATGCTAGTAATTATTTTAATGGAAACTTATTAGGTTTTTGCAAACTAGGTCACATATCTTCCTCTGTAGAAGTTGTGTGTCCAAACATGGTTGTGCGTGTGTGCGTGTTTGTGTGTGTGTGTAGAGAGAAAGTAAGAGAGAGAGATGTAAAATGGAGAAGTGTTTTGAATGTATGCATGTTTGGACATGCCGTGGTTGCACTATCTTGGAGCTGTGTTAGCCCTGGGAAAATGCCCCCTCACGTATTTTGCCTCAGTGTGTAAAGAGATTTGGATGATACTTATACTATCCATGGTGTCCTGTGAAATATATGACCAATTTAATTATATTTTGAATTACATATAGCCAATTCATACCTATCCTAAACCTCAGTTAACTTTGTCTTTTTTCTCCAATTAAATATTTTCATTTTTCTTCATTTATCATTTCATCTTTTATAGCATATAGGAATCATTAAAGTTTTTGTAACTGATTAGTGAAAATGGATCTCAAAATCTTAAACAGTCCTTCTTTTCTGAGAATCTGTCAATTTCAGCAGTCTTGAGAAGACCTTGAACTGTCATTGCTGTTTGTGTCTGCAGGCCTAGATTCAAAGCCCCACCTCAATAGTCATCTCTGTTTTGCTAACAGTCTTTGGTGTCTTATATACTTTGCTGAATTTTCTCATTTCATCTGGTGATTGTGATCACTTTGATTATACTAAATGTCAAGCTTTGAATATTCCTTCTTTGAAAGGATATTTCAATGGATAGCAGAAACATTAAAGATGAGATTGTGAATGTAATGTTAAAATTTCTAAGGTAGACAACCAGCTATCATTTGTGTAATCTGTGCTTCTATTATACATGTCCTTGCCTACTAGTACTGGCTTAGGTTTTAGTAGATTAAATTGTGGGAGACTGCATTTGTGCTTAAATGACAATATTTTACAGAAGAGCAAGCAAATGATTCTTTGTTAGTGGACGTCCTTAAATTCTGCTTCCTGTGATTGTAGTGGTATATTTTGTCAGTCACCAAAATACCTATACCCTGAAAACGTGTTTATATTTATCTCAATAAGAGTAGTGATATATTAACATATATGTATGTAATGTATATGTATATACATGCATGTATATACATATATAAAAATCTAATATCTCTGACATTTCAGTTTAGAATGCAAATTTTTAAATTATTTCTTTTTTCACTTCTTCTTAAATTATTATCATCATTTTATGATACAGCTCCATAGGCCCTGGGAATTCCCTTACCCACACCCTAAGTCAAACCCCAACCACTGAGTTCCCCTGTATTATTATTATAGTATAGTTCTTCATAAACAGTCATTTGTCCATCATTGCAGGCATGGATAATGGCAGAGAATCCAGCATCCTATTGTCAAGATAGTTAACAGTTTCGTTATAAGTCCATCTTTGATCTGGAACTAGGGATGCATACTGCATCTCCATTACAGTTATTATAATCTCCATTATGCACTTATAGTACATCCCTTTAAATGAAAATCCACTAAGCAAACTCAATAACAAGAAGAAAAAAAGGAATTAAATATAACATGAAGTTACATAACATGTTACTGAATGACTAATACATCACTGAAGAAATGAGAAAGAAAATCAAGAATATTCTTGAATAAAATGGTGCTGCTGCATGATCTATGAGTCATTGAAGAATTTAATGAGAAAAAATTTTTGGAAGAGATGAAACTAAAAATCAAAATCCATGAACTGTAGTTTCTGCTGACCTTTTTTGTTCAGATGTGTCTCCTGTAGGCAACAAATGGATGGGTTTTGGTTTTTTTAATCTGGTCTACTAATGTATGATGTTTGATTGATGAGTTAACCATTTGTATTCAGTGTTAATAAAGATATGTGGTAATTTGGTTCTGTAATTTTAGCAATGTTCATTAATTTACTCTTCTATTGTTATTTTACTGGGATGTTCTGCACATTCGCCTTTGGTTTTTGTGGGTACTTTTTCTTTTCTCTGTCAAGAGAACAACTTTAAGTATCATTTGTAGGGCAGGTTTGGAAGAAGCTTATTCTTTTAACTTTTCTTTACTGAGGGAGAATTTTATTTCATGTTTAAAGACAAAGATTTCTTTTAGAATCTGGAATATGTCACTCCATTCTCTTCTGGCCTGTAGAGTGTCCTGTGAGAGGTCTCCTGTGAGTTTAATTGGCATTCCTTTTTATGTCAGTTGATTTTTTTCATGTGCACATTTAAGGGTTTTTTTCCTTATGTCCAATTGAAGAGAGCTTGATGGTCATGTGTTGTGGAGAAGATCGCTTTTGATCAAACTTGTTTGGAGTTCTGTGTGCCTCCTGGATGTTGTTTCCCAATTCTTTGTCTAGATTAGGGAAATTTCAGTTTGTAGTACTGGATTTCTTTAAAATTAGTAATTTTTTTTATTGAATGAAGCCAAACAAATTAGTTTTCTAATTATTTTTATGGTAAAGAGGAAACATTGATTTATATGCAAGTCACTGTAAAAAATAGTCACACATGACAGGAGAAACTTGAGGAAATTTCACTAATATTATCTGTATTTTATGCTCATCAGTGGGCTTGGGGTGGGAAAATGAAACAGAAGACCCAGAGCAAATAGGGCTTTGGGGTATTTAGGTAAGTGATTAGAAAATCAGATTGTAGAGTCAGAGTCTAGTATGTTCTTGGGCAGGATACATAATGTCTCATTCTCTTCATTTGGAAAATAGGGATAGGAGTGGCATACTCTTTAGGGTTATGGTGATCATGGTTAATTGATGTTAAATATTTGAAACACATAGCAGCAGTCATCTTGAAGTGTATAGATGCAATTTCTTTGCTCTCTGTTTTCCTGGACTATGGTTGACACCGGGGGTTTATTCCCATGCCTTCTGTCTGTCTCCCTTTCTTCCATTTTTGAATAGTGAGTTCCTTCAGAATAAGAAACATGTAGAAAATGTGTAAAAGATTGGTTTGCGTGTCTATTGTTTTGATTTTCTTATGGAAAAGTGAGGTCTAAAATGCGGTTGGCGGCATTATCTTTCTGTCAGTATCAGGTACAAAACTGTCCATGTCACTTATGGTGTGGTGAAAGTCGCAGTTTGAATGTAGGAGGATCATGTTAATGACAAATAAAAGAAAACAAAGACTAAGGGATTGATTTTAGTCACTGTGAGTAGAAGACAGGCTAAAAAAGACATCACTGGTAGGAATGTAATATTCCCAAATTGTTCACTTTCAACGTAAAGTGCAATATTTCCAAATTGTCCACTTTCAAAGTGTAAGTCTGACAACTGTAGAATTGAAATTCCCTCCTTTTTTCAGCAAAGAGATGCCTAAAATTTCAAGATTCATTCAGTTCCATATCTTTAAGATGAATGCTATTGATTTCTCTCAATTATTTAGGGATTTAGTCTACCAAAAGCATACGTTTGTATGAAATACTTTAAATATAGGCTTCTTTTATGAATTCTGTAAAGTTTTTGCCTTAAATGAAAATGCCTGTACCACTCTTACAAAAGGCCAAATAATTTCTCACATATTCCTGTTGTCATCTGCCATTATCACCTACTAGTTCACCATTTAGCCCTCATTGTTTTCAAACTTGTTTGTGTTCAGTTTTCTTGCTTCAGCCTAGCTGATTTGGTTGTCCTCACTGGTGAGCTAAGTAGTATGATCATGTACCTGTC